TAATCTACCAAGTCCGTTCCCGTTATATAAATCTAATAGTTTGCTATTTTTTCAAATCCGATAACCTCTTAAAACTGCATACCGATTCTGAGAGGGTCAACTGTACATCATAAATTTATAGTAAGTGTAGGTAGTTTATATCAGTTTTTTTTTTGAAAAAAAAAAAATGTATAGATGATGGTAAAGTAATGTTTCAATATATATGATATTTAAGGAAAGGGTCTAATCACATGGGGTCTTTGCCTTGAAAATGACCTTACGGTATCATGTAGCGTAAGGTCATTTTCAAGGCAAAGACCCCACATATTCATATTGCTTAATTACATAATTTATATTAGAACATTCATAATGAAAATTGTGTATATGGAAACTAAGCCGAAAAATAATATGAGTTGCTTATAGTTAATAAGAGTGTAGAAAGGAAAAGGAAAAACACGAAATGCAAAATTATGCAAAGAATTATTTTGGTTATTGATGTATTCATTTGTTGATTTGTTAGAGTCGATTGTTTATTATAAATTTAACAGCTTTCTCTGTTGATAATCTATCAAATATGAAGTTAATAAACAATCTTCAATATCCCGAAGTCAGCGATCAAAGGTTTACTAAAATATTTTTAGAGTGTTAATAGATTTTAATGTAAGTGCGTAGCTTAGAATTTGGTAAAATTAAAATTAATCAGTATTTAAATTATAATTTAAAATTTTCATAACAAGTCTAGATGAATAATTCTATTTTTCACGTAGGCATTTTAGTCCGAACATTTTCTTTAGTGAGTTGTATAAGATCTACTCATGAAACTTTAAAACCCTCTTCAGACCGTTTACATTAGAAATAATTTCCGTCATTGGCAAATTGTAATATAATATTAAAGTTACCAAATTGTGATCTTTAACAAATAATAAGTTTAAATAAACATTATTTATATGTCGAATTTTTTGATATCTCATATAATTTAATAATATTGGGATAATTAACATCATAAAGAAATCTTAGCTGAAAAATGTAAAATATATTAATTTAGATTATACAGTACCATAATGATAAAAAAAAAGAACGAAACATTTACCTCTTTAAGGAATTTTTTATTAATTCGCACTTTTTTCCTTGTAAATAAACAGAGTATACCATATAACCACCGTTATCAATGAGTTTATTATTTCTAATTTGTGAATATTTAAACTTATGTTTTATTCTTTCAATAGCATTTCTTCTCGCCTTAAATGTATTACATTCAAATTTGTCACCTTTATCTTTACGCATTTATTTACTAAAATATTCAAATGTAATCTCATTACGAGATAGATTTGCTTTTTTATGATAACATTGAATTTAAGGTTTATCTTTGTTTTAGTAAATGGTTGAAACTTTATTGATCACTTTCAAATTGTTATTGTTTCTAGCAGTTTTATAAAATTTCTACAGATGATATATATGGATGTGAATATCGTCTATTTGATTTGGAATAACCAAATTTTTGATCAAAGGATTCTCATAGGTTCAAAATTTGTATCAGGTACTGGATCAGAGTCATCATTTAATATTTTCTTCATCTATATTATTTTCTTGATAGTTACTGCTGTTAATACAATTTTGATCAAAGTAAAGAGTTTTAAACCACCTAGAATTATCATTATTTTTATACTTATTATTATTTTTTTTTTACATCTTCGACATGCTTTTTATTAGCATTTTTAATATACTCAATTTCTCTATCTCAGCTTTCGTTAGTTTTTGCATAAATTTCTTCTAGAGCCATTTTTCGAATATCTCACTTTGATAGATAGTAAATAAATTAGGTTGTTTATTATATTTTGAATTAAGTGCTTTCGAAATTAGAGAAAATAAGGCTTAAATTTGAATGAAAAGTTAATAGGAATTTTTTACATAGTTGACTATCCATATATGTAAGACATATTTACTCTCGAAGGAGAATTTGAAAAATTGTAGATATAAAAAAAAAAAAATCTGAGTCCTAAATTATAATCGCTCACTTAATAAAATTTAGTTATAACAAAACTTTTATATTAAATAGGTTTATGAAATACATTAGTGTAAGACTGTATACTTTAATTTCTCGTTGTGTTTGAGAAGAAGCACATATAAAACCTTTGAATATCTAAAAAAAAAAGTATTATTATAAATTACTTAAACCTAGTGTACCTGATAGTAGTACAAACCTTTCTTTGAAAGGATGTGATTAGAAACCATAATAATAAAAAATGCAACACCTAAGCTTTTACATGATTAATGCATGCCCTAATTGTCAAAAACGAAAAAAAAACAACTAATTGTAAAAATTATGCAAAACATAATCTTTAGTGTGTTTCTATAAAATGTAGATCAAAATCAAAGCCAAGTAAAAAAGTAAATGGCTTAAAAATTAACAAAAATGAATGGACGATAGGTATTCGTCACGAATCATTAGGGTGTTGCAAATATATTTAATTACAAACATAGACCAAACGGCCTAGTAAATGGTATTAATGAGGATTTTGATAATCAAATTTTTAGTCATATGTTATATGATCGTCTGATTGGCTAAATTTGTAGATCTGCTTAATATGTTTAATTAAATCTATAAGAAGGTACTAGATAAAGATTAAAATTGCTAAAACTTTGTTTAACAATCATTTGCTTTATAAAATTTATATTCATATATTTTTAAGAAGATAAACTTTAATAAAATAATGCATATTTTTACATATCTTATAAAGTTTATTAGTAAACAGATAATATTACATAATTTGCTATTAGTAATTTTTGATAAAAATGATATTAAATCGATAAATGACTAGTATTTGTAAATTTTAACGTTATATTATTATAAAAACATATTTTAAGAATCTTATTTATTTTACAGAATTAAAAAATATTTAGTAAATAAAAAGTAGTAGCAATTTTTGCGAATTAATTTTTTATTAATAAATAAATAGTAATTTTATCACATACAAATTATAAGATATGATTGGCAAAAAATTCTTATTATGTTAATTTGATATACCATTTTACATATGTTTGTAAATTAGCTGATTTGCAACACCCTAACGAATTATGCAAGTTTTACATTTTACCTTATTTTACTGAACTGACAATAAGTTGACTGATTGTAATTTAATTTTGTTATGATGCATAATAAATTTTAAGTGATTTTTGTTTATAAAACAAGCTATATATTGAGAGAAAGAGCTTATTTTGTTATTATATAGTTTATAAAGCACTCAGATATGTGTTAACATAATTTGTAAAAATTATTTATTAAGAAGGATGTTCAGATTTATTTATATATAGCACCATATGAAACTAACAACTTCTTACAATATTGATCAGCTGTTATGTATACATACATACATATGTAAATTCGCTATTTCATTAATTTTATCATATTGATTTTTAGTTTATCTTTACGTAACAGCCAAAGATTACTTTTTATTGAGCAATCAAAAACTTGAATCCTGATTAAGATCTAAGCATAATGCATATTGATCTATTTCAGAAATCCAAGTATCAAATACCTTTCTTTCTCTCTTATTTTCGTAAGCCTGTTTTTTGCAAATATATCTTTTGGTAATACAAAGTAAAAATTAACTTTATGAGATTTATTCAAGATTCCCTTAATCATTCTTAATCCATCTTGTTTGATACTATGTCTCTTAGCAACAGTTACTTGAAATAGCTTATTGGGATGTATGTAACTATCAATGCTTTCAAAATTCTTGGAAGTTGGCCAGTAGTAATTTTCATCCTTTTTAATTTCTTCAACACAATCAAAAAAGTTTTCTTCTAGAGGTTTAAAATATGGATTTTTTCATCTGATATACCCTCATCTAAGAGTTTGCATACTCAAAAGTTCCCTTCTTTACAAATATTTGCATGAGATATCATTTCAAACAGCTGTTCATGGAGATCTCCCATTTCCAATATGTACTTTGTATTTTCGATAAAATTGCAAACTGTCTCCCTATTATAATGTTTTAATTTATCCAAGCATTTATCTGCCATGTATTTAGACGCAAAGAAACAGATAGCATTAATATATGGATTTGTTACTTCTACATAATTGGATGGGAAATTGGCATGTATATGAATTAATTTGTTATAATCATTATTACCTAAGAGGGATAGGCTTGGATATTCTAGAATTCTTGAATCAATAAACATAAATGCACTATCAATAGTTGTTTTAATTTCTTCCAGTGACATTGTGGTATTAAAGATCCACCCTGCAATACCACTACACAACTCAAACTTTTTCTTCAATAATTCTTGAGAAATTTTTTTATCATACAAACAATTATGACAGTTAACAATCTCGTCCTCACTCCACATTGGCATATAGAATTTTTTGCTCCCCTAAGCTTTGATAATAAATTTCTCAACTTCTTTTTTAGGTGATGACACTATAATTAACTTTCCTCCAAAATCATAGCCTATTTGGGGCTCTTTTCTATTAATTATACACCATGTATCTGGCAGTGATACTAATATTAGATACTCAGAAGACTTTTTTACTTCAAATGAACCTTTGGAAGAAATAAATAATGTGAATTCTTTACATTCAAACAGAACTGATTTGCCTTGTTTAAGAAGCTCTACTAGCATCAACCTTCCGAAATATGTTTTACTAATGCCTGGGTTTCCAGTGATACAGTACCTAAAGCCTTTATCCTCAAGTATAAAGTTATGAAAATGGGTATAACACTTTCAATTATAGACAATTGTATCCCCTTTGGTTCCTGAAAATTGTGAAATTGTGAACACATGTTGACTTGTATCAATTTTTGGTAATTGCTTGAAAAGATTTTCAATAATAGTTTTAGTTTTATCTAGAAAAGATACAAGTTGAGTTGTTAGTTACTCACCTTGTTTGAGAGGTAAAACAATAAGTGACACTTACTGTGCAATTGTATGATTAGATGAATGCCTTTGGAAGAATTTTGAGAGAAAATTTCTTTAATAGCATCAAATGGTGAATTTAACTTCTTACCTTCGAGTTTTTTTTCAATACAATTTCGGTACAGGACTGCTGTTCAAGTATTTTCCATTTTTCGCTTCCTTTGGTGATACTTTCAACTTTCCAAATATTTAAACTACACTCACCTATCTTCTCGATAAGAAGATTCTTGAGAAATCCAATTGTAAAATCATTAATTAGAATATCAAGATTATTGACACGAGTTTTTTCACCAATAGCAACTGGAAAAGCAGCATTAGGAGAGTTGCCTAGAATGATGCAATATAGTATAATTTGGCCATATTTCTGCTAATGCAAAAACTAAGTGTTAAAAAAAGGAATAATTTTCTAGTAAAATATAAAATAAAGGCAACTGTTTGAGCGAGACATTTTTGTGTATATGTAATATATTGTGTCAAACTGGTTTGCAACTTGTTTGTGGTTATAATTATTTTGAATAAATTAATACAAATAGGTTAATATGATTTTGCAATGAATAAAAAATAGACCAAAAAAATTTTCTTGGTCTAGTGTATTTATATAACATATGTCAATTACACAATTTTGGTTATACAAAAAATTATTGCATTAATACCGTTATTGTTATTGTCTTTAACTTTTCAAACCAACGTACAGCAATTTTTAGTTTTTTTTTATTCATATCCTTATCTTAAAGAAATCTAATTACATTGACTACTACCTGAAATCTTACAGAACCGCATTTTCATATTGCTTAATATTTATATAATAAAACCAGTGTTGCTATATATCAGCACTCTAAGTAAAATGTTCAAACCCAAGAAATCTTCAAAAAAACCAATATCGGGACCCTATATCTAATCTACATTATACCAGTGATGGTAAATGACCTGAAATAACCCAAATGACCCAAATAACAAATGACTAGTCATTGGGTCATTTTGAGACCCAAATGACTTAGAGGGTCATTTAATATATGTTAATTGATATTCTATTGCACTTTAGCCAATCAGAATTTGCTACCAAACAAAATATAATCGATAATCGTAGCTATATATTAAAGTCAAATTTTTACTAAGTAAGTAATATTTATATATTAAATAAAGCTGTCCGAAATAATAATTGCATATATTCTGAAATTTTCATGTAAACCGAAGAACTTTTATTAATTCACTTCTGTGCTTTACATTTATACGAAAGTTAAAAAGTCAATTTATATATATTAATTGACTTTGACTTTAATACGTATATAGCTACAATTATCGATTAGAAATGTAATAAAGTTTGATAACTTTTTATATGAACAATTCAACCAATAAATTATTTTATATGCAAATGACCTACGTAAATAAGCTTAATAACCTTGTCATGATTTGATGATTTGGGTCATTTAAATTTCGATCAAACGACCGAATCATTTACCACTCATGGGTTGGGTCGGGCATAAAAAATTTTATTGAGCTTGGGCTCGAGTATACAAATACCCAGTCTATTTCAAAACCGATAGACTAAATGACCCGGTCATTTCTAAATAACCATGGTCATTTGGTCACGAGTCATTTCCAAATGACCCAAAATTGAGATGACCGATAATGACCGGTCATTTCAGGGTCATTTGAGGTCATTTGAAAAATTTGCAAATGACTAGGTCATTTACCATCACTGCATTATACAGCATTATATAAAACAAAACCTAGTTAATCAAATTTTGGGTATGAAACTAAGCTGAAAGATATTGGGTACAGAAACAAAGTCAAAAGATAATGAAAGCTTTGGGTATGGAATCTAAGCCGAAAGATAACGAAAGTACATATGCATCAAAAATAGCCGAAAGATTATATATTTCATCTAATCAACGAGTGATTATTTCAATAAATTCTGTTGCAGTAAGTCGTTTATGAAAATACATATATATAGAAACTTAGCTGAAAAATAATTAAAGTTTTGTATATGGAAATTATAGCTGTTTTCATTATTCCTGGGACACCTATAAAAAAAATTAGCCGAAAAATTTTTCGGCCGGTAATTTTTTTGTCATAATAAATTCAATAAAAATTGATATGATACTGTAATATATACGTAATATAAAATCAGGTGCCTAATATAAATAAAAATTATGCACATTTCTTGTTGAATTCAAAAAATATGATGTTTTCAACCCATATTTGCTGACAAATTATTGAAAAAATTTTAGAAAACCCATCAACTCAAAAAATTGCAAAACACTTAGGTGTTAGCAGGTCTTCTATAAGTCGGGTTCTTGTGAATTTTCAAA